CTTTTGTGTTCAGCAGAAGAAAGACATTTATATAGGTTTGGAACAACTTGAGGGTTGGAACTATCCCTAAAAAATAGTATATTCAGCAAGGATGCATTCAATTGATTAGAAGTGTCAGTAAGGACATTTATAATGTTACCAAAAATTACTAATTGCTGTTCTTTTGAACTTTCTATAATGGAAGAAATGGAAAAAAGTGTGATTGTGTGTGTGTGTGTGTGTGTGTGTGTGTGTGTGTGGGGTGTGTGTGTGTGTGTGTGTGTGTGGGGGGGGGGGGTTAACATTGATATTTATAAGAAATGTTTTTTGAGCACCAAATCAGTATATTAAAATGGTTTCTGAAGGATCATGTGACACAGAACATATACAATAGAAGTATTTTACACATTCATATATTATACAGTGACCAAAACTACTGACTCATTCATGGTTCACTTCATAGTGAATGTCATATAGTTCTCTATATAAAGATCAAAATGTTTTTGGACACAGGGAATATTGAGCACTTTGTGTGACATTTTTGACACGTTGATTCCGAATTGCAAAATTAAAAAACCTTAAATTTGATCTGACCATACTAAGTGAGACATAGACAATTCATAGTTGAATCATAATTCAATCCACAGATGTTCTTTAGATGTTAATGTGAATATTGGTACGGTCTGGCTCATCCTTATGTCATTGATTTTGGGTTTCAGCCCATTCCCAACAGGCGTGAGGAGCGTCCAGTAAGCTGTATTGTTCCAGGCAGTGGCCCCATGATGCCCAACATGAGCGCTCTGGCACGGGACGTGGCTAACGTGGTTAATAGCAAGCAGAGGGCTTTTATTCCTAGCATGATTTGCAACGAGACTTACGGCACCATGCTTGATATTAGCCCATCGCCATTGGGTTTACCTGGTATTCCTCTTCTACCCCCTCGTACCTTAGGAAGAGGTGAGTAGAATTCAGGCCTAGTGAGTTGAGGATTTTCTGCTAGTAAATTCTGATAGGTTTAATTCTTGTAGCTTTCCTACAAATGTAGATTAAGTAAACATATATATAAATTGCATATATTATGTGTGTTTGTGATGTCAGGGTGGAGTCCTCCCATGGAGACGGTCGGGAGGCAGAGATCATGTTCAGACCCTTCAAACCCTCAGAATCCAGAAAGTAACAACTCAGTATATGGTGAGTCTGACCTCACTAGAGCCTGATACTGTATATATATAAGTATATACAAAACTATGCTCACCAAGGCTACATTTATCTTATCAAAAATACAATAAAATAGTAACATTGTAAGATATTATTACAATTTCGAATAACAGTTTTCTATGTTAATATTTTTTTGAAATGTAATTTATTCCTGTGATGGCAAAGCTGAATTTTAAGCATCGTTACTCCAGTCCTCAGTGTCACATGATCCTTCAGAAATCATTATAATATTCTGATTTCTTATTATGATCATTGTTGAAAACAGGTGCTGTTTAATATTTTTGTGGAAATCCTAATAAAACATTTCAGGAGTCTTTAATGAATAGAAAGCATTTATTTGAAATATAAATCTTTTGTAAGTGTCTTTTTTGTCAGTTTGATCAATTTAATTTGTTCTTGCAGAATAAAAAGTATTCATTTCTTTAAGAAAATCTTAATGACCCCAAATGTTTTTTTTTTGTGGTAACACTTTAAAAAAAGGTTCATTTGTTAACATTATGTAACTACTTTAATTAAGATAAACTAAAAATTAACAATACTTCTACTTCATTTATTAACAATAGTTAATGTTAATCTCAACATTACATTTTTAAGAACAAAAGTTATATCTGTGAACATTAGTTAATGCACTGTGAACTAACATTACTATTATGATTAACTAACATTAACAAATGTTAGTTTATGCATGAACTAATGTTAACTAATGAGACCTTATTGTAAAGTGTGACTGTTTTTTTTTTTTTTTTTAACATGGTAGCTAGTTTGTTGCTCCATAATGCTCTACCAGATCTACCGGCTTGTCAACTAATTAAAACCACCTTAGACCAACTAGAAACCAGCTACAATGATCCAAAACCAAACAGTTTTTTATTCTTGCAGGCAGAAGCATAAGTCATTAGCATAACAGGTCTTGTCTCTCCTGTAGTTCTCCCCCCTGCTCCGCCACCTCCTCCTGCAGCCAAGAGACCACCGCCTCCAGATCCAAAGGCAACTCTTCTCCAAGGGTCTCCGGTTCCACCTGCACCCTCCGCACCCCCAGTTATACCCCCCCTCCCAGTTAGACCAGCTTCCATAGTGCCACCTGCTCCAGTGTTGCCCACTTCATTTTCAAATAAACCCCCACCTCCACCTATACCCACACAGCCAAAAGCCCCTGCCCCCAAACCAGTGAAATCCCCTGCTCGGTAAGTAACATTGATCAGATGCTGTGTTTCTTTAAAGAGATTTCAGCTGTTGGTTTAGTAGCATTGTTAGCATTGTCTAAATTATGTCAGCTGCACTGTTCTGTGTATTCCTCAGGGATCCCGTTGGTCCATTTAGTAAAGATGTAAATGTAAATAAAGCTTCACCCAGTGTCCCCCGACCAAGTGACAAAACAGGTTAATATAATAATATTTATATATATGATAAATATACCACTAAAGCCAAAAGAATAATGATATGTTAGATGGAAATAAGTCTAAATGGTGATTTCCAATAGAACGGCTTCCTCCAAAATCCGGGCCGTCATCTGCCTCCGCACCAGCTCCTGTTCCTGTTCCTGCTCCCAAACCCAGAACGGCCCCACCTGTAAGTGACCGTTTAAGTATTGAAATGACCCAATAAACAGCATTTATTAGAAATAGAAAGCTTTGGTAACATTATAAATCTCTTTACTGTCACTTCTGATCAATTTAATGTATTCTTGCTCTATTCATTTCTTTAAAAAAAAAAATCCTACCCAAATTCCTGAACGACAGGTTATATTTATTTTAAGGTTTAAATTATTATTATTAAAAAAAATATTTAAAAGTCTTTAAAGGGTTTCCCCAAAAATATTTTTACATTTAAGCCACAATTAAACGTGGAATTTCATTGCATTACAAAATATCAAACCAAGCGGCATCTGCAAACATGAAAAGTGTTTGTTCTAGCTTTCTTTAAAATAAATGTTACTTGATATTTTGTTAAAATACATTTGAACTGTGATGTAACTAAGTGTTAAAACTAAAACATTTGCTTTGTATTTGTTTCAGAAACCGAGACCTAAGAGGGTAAAGGCCATATATAACTGCCAGGCTGATAACGTGGATGAACTGACCTTCTCAGAAGGAGAGGTGATAATAGTAGATGGAGAGGAGGACAAGGAGTGGTGGGTGAGTATAAAGTCATACTTACACAGTACATGCACAGATCAGCTGACTGAATCATGTGTGATCTTGATGGGCTCTTCCTCGTTTCCTGCAGGTGGGCCACATTGATGGGGAGCCGACCAGGAAGGGCGTTTTCCCTGTCGCGTTTGTTCACTTCATCACTGAATGATGTCATACACTGCTGTCTTACTAAGATCACATGCTCAGACTTTTTGTAACAGAAACCTAAGACCACTGATTATTTAACAATGGATTCGCCAATTCTTTCTGGCTGAATGGTGGCGTACAGGACATTTAAAAACAAAAGACCTCAGAAAAGGATTCTTTTTTTTTGTTTAGCAATTATTCTGATTACAAGTGTAATTACCTCTAACTTTATGCAGAAATATCGTATGAATGAGTACTATGCATATTACGGGAACCGTATGTTTTTATAAAGTATAATATGTTTGGATCCTTAATCTCATCTTTACAGAGTTTTTTGTCTATATCAGATATCAGTTGCAGAGCAACTCTTATTTTGCATAATTAAGTGACATGTTAAACCATGTTGCTTGTATACAAGTTATGTTCCCCATGTTATGTTACCAAACAAGCCATTAAACCTTTTACTCTGTACATTTAAAAGACTTTACATTTATTTTCAGCACTTGAGATATATTTTTACAAAAATAACTGACAAAAATGCCAAAGTAGTGGCTTTGAAACAGCTCACTGTAATGTTATACAATTTAATAGTTACACTACCTTTGAAAAGTTGAAACCGTTTTCTATTTTCATCCATTTTAAAATGTAATTTATTCCTGTGATGGCAAAACTGAATTTTCAGCATCACTTTTTTAAATAGAAATCTTTTGCAGCATTATACATGTCTTTACTGTGACTTTTGATCAATTTAAAGGTGGAATTGGTGATTCTCTACAGAATTGTTTTATGCTGCTTCATATCCTGATAGCAATTACTATGTTAAGCGTCTAAATGTATTTTTATAAATATCATATGTGGAAGGCTTAGGACCATAACGTTCATTCAATCTCCCAGTCAGTGTGTGTTTGCACACCACTGCGCAGCTTGTTCACGCAGACAGCATACGTCATCAGCGCGTTTCACATACGCTGTGCAGACAGAGCGAGAAGAACGGCAGGCAAACAACCTAACTTTCCTTCTTAACCGAAAACAAGTGGCAATATCTACATGTCAGGTTTGACAGCACAGTTCTCTGTACCGTTGACTTTGCCCTATGCAGATAATTCCGTGAGATTCGATTATGTCCTGAAATTGCATATGAATAAAGCTGAAATACAGTGCATTCTTTCCTTTATGTCAACAGGTCAACTTCTGAACTCGAGTCATTTCACAATCACATACTTCTGTATGCAAGCAAGCATGTTTTCTCATCGGTGAATGACACATGATGTAATCCAATAACATTGTCACTCACTGGTATGGTCTGTGCCCGGAGGAGGCGTGGCTTTGGACATCGATGCAGGGAGGGTGGAATTGAATGCTTTCAATGCTATTAGGCTAAAGTTAGCATTTCCCAGATCACCTATTGCACATTTAATGTGTCCTTTAAAAAATGTGTTTCTTTACAAAAAAATTCTTGCCCTCAAACTTATGAAAGATAGTGTACATTTACAAACCACTATTTCTCTACAAGGAAACAAAGGGTCCAAGGTCCATCAAAGATTTTATTAATTTACAGCATTATCGGATGGCCCAAGAAACAATTGACCTTTTTCAAAATACAACCTTCAAGTTTACTCATAGTTTTAGAAAAAAAATACTTTCAAATGTTCAAAATACTCATCCATATATTTACAAACCAAAAGTCATCACAATAGATGTCTTAAACCCCAGGAGATTGAATATATGCACAGTGGTCTCTCCAAAAAGGCCAACAAAGTCTATTATAAGGGGATAGAAGCAAAGGCTCTTCTTTGTGGTGCTTATGCACTCTGTACAGCTGCTATAGTACTTGAAACATCTGTAAAAAAATAAATAAAACAACGTTTTCAATCAATTAATCTACAGCCTGATTCAATGCAACAGCAACTGCTGCAGGTTCAGGAACTGAACAATAATTATGTCCCAAGAGGTCCACAGGTGCAGGATCTTCAAACCGTTCTCTTTTGCAGTGGTTCTGAAGCGGAGAAGTTGTTCCACTGGAATAAGGTGGGTACAGCATCTTTCTTCAGCCTACGGCGCCCTGTAGGAGTCGATGGCTCGATCACATCATCGCTCTTGAAATGACGGCTGCAGACTCTTGTATGGGAAGTGAGGCTAAGACCCTCGCGCCGAATGTTGCTTATCCACTTTTTCCGTCTTTCTTCATCCGGAGGGAAAGTGTGAAAGCTCAGCACAGAGTTGAACTTTGAGGAAGCCGAACACAATGGGACACAACAATGTTCGGCCACCCAACTGTCTTCCCGCCGTTGATATTTAAACTTTCTGGATGCCTTTACTACAATGAGATATTATATATATATATATATATATATATACTGCATCTAATATATATATATATCAATTGCATAATCAGGTCTCAAATGTTAATCTTTACAAAATAACAATCTACACACATTGAGCTTAAATGATTTACTGCTGCAAATATTGTTTAATATATTGATGTTTGTGGACTGAACTTACACAATCTAAAAAATAAGATACAGACAATTTTATTCTTCAACATCTACACTAGCGCTCAAAGGTTTAGGGTCGTAAGATTTTTTTTATGTTTTGGAAAGATGCCTCTTATGCTCACCAAGTCTGCATTTATTTGATAAAAAATGCAGTAAAAGCAAATGTCACTACAATTTGCAAAACAACTGTTTTCTATTTATTATATTTTAAAACGTAATTCAGTCCTGTAATGGCAAAGCTTAATTTTTAGTCTTCAGTGTCACAAGATCCTTCAGAAATCATTCTAATATGCCGATTTGGTGCTAAAGAAACATTTCTTATTAATATCAATGTTATGTAAAATGTAATATTTTTGAAAACCATGATATTTTTTCACAGCATTAATTTGACACAGAAATCTTTTGTAACATTATAAATGTTTTTACTGTCACATTTGATCAAATTACTGCATCCTTTTTAAAAAAGTATTATTTCTTTAAAAAAATTCTTACTGACCCAAAACTTTTGAACCGTAGTGTAAGTGATCGGAGTGATCAAAAGGCATTGAGATTCTGAGTGTAGAAAACAAGGCCATACAGCTAACCTGATATAAGTGGTTGTGTGTGTATCCGGCTCTCCTCTAACGTTAGAAAGTAAGCTGGTTTGACAAGCTGCGATTCTGTGTTAGCTGGATCCACAGCATCATTCGGGCCCTCAGTCTCACAGGTCAGTATATGGATGGGGCCCCGGGAGCCCTTCAAGTGGATCTGGATAGATTCCTAGAGCAAGACATTAACATAAGTTCATATAACACATATTGCCTCCAGTTATCGGATGAGTGCCCTTTAATCATTATTCAAATTAGGGGTGGGCAATATGACCAAAATCTTATTTCACAAGTAATTTTAATAATATATATATACACACATACACCACAATATAGTTATTTTTTGTGTTATTAAATAAAAGAACAAAGATTCAAAATAACAATCAACAGAATAAAAAATAAACCGTGTTTTAAGCTTTTCATGTACAACAGATCTATTTAACGGTAGCATTCAAAGTAAGAAATACTACAGAATTTGAATAATCAAATGTGGAAATAAAACGGTCTTTAATGTATGAATCAAAAAGACATTGACTGTTATTTAGGATACTTAAGTTATTAAGTCAAGATCAGTGAGTGATTGGTTTTCTCTTTCTTGTGTTGTCTGATTAAAATTAATGTGAATACAGCAGCAGGTATATTATGCTGCTGTAACTTGCTCGGATCAAATATATATTTTATATTATATACACGTTTTTTGTTTTTTTATATTAAGACTCCTAAAATGCTCGGGGCCTTCCAGCTTACTTCAGTGGGAGTGGGCACCTCTAGCTTGGTCTCTTCAGGGGCCCTGACGGCTATTATAGTCTGGTCCTTGAAAACGCCAATCTTACAGATGTCCTCGTATGTCACATAAGCTGAGGTACAACTGCAGTTAAGACCAAAACAACTGAAAGAAGTACTATAAGGATTGTTAGACATACAGTATAATATCACAGACTGTCAGAAAATGTGAGAGGATATTCAGCATTGTCTTTGAGGTCGGTCAGAGCAAAGAGCTGTTGGGCGCAGTCTTTGATGAGCCAGTCAAGGGCCTCCTCAGTTGACTTCAGATTAAGTAGGTTAGCTTTTGTCTTGGGGCTCCACTGGTTCCCAATGCTGCCGACTGCTCCTGGACCCCTTGGACATAGAGACAGATACGTGAATCGTTTACTGATGTATTAAGAGAATCAAACCTCTAGACTTGGTTCCAACTTAAGAATTTCATCGAACAGATTTTGTTTTTGTAAACTATAAAGCCTTGTTTATCTAATCCCACATTGTGGAAATAAATGTGGAATTGTGAAAAGATTTTCGGTCTAAACTTACATCCACTGGATCTTGTTTTTGGATGTCTTTTTGATTAAATGGATACCAGTTAGCACATTGGTGATGTCATACACCCGCCTCTTTCGTGTGGCCAGTTTTCGCGTAACCTCATTGAGATCAAGGACTCCATTCGGAGCTGTTTGAATTAGCTGCATGAAACGTTTGGTCAGTTGTCCAAGAGCGACGTCAGAGCGATTCTGGACTGGAATGAAAAAAATGGGACTATTCAGGGAAGCTTTTTTAACTTTAGTCTAAGTACATTTAAATTCTGTTCAGCATCAGAAAGTGAATGAATTAAAAACATTTCAGAACATACCTTGTCCGGTGGGTACACTGTTTGCTTGATTCATGTTAAATGTTGGGATTGCGAAATACATGTTGGGATTGCTAATTAAACTAAAAGAAAACACATGATATAATGAATGGGCAAAATAACAAATACTGTTCCATTCCTTTCTGTAGTAGTCTTTTAATGTAGTCTTACCTTCCAGTGAAACACTGTCCTTGGGTTTTATCCTTGTCCTTTTGTCCTTGGGGATCATGTGCACCACTGTGGTCTTCATCATCATCTTCATCATCATCATCATCATCATCATCATCCTCAAACTCTTCATCATAAGAATCATCATCATCATCATCTGCAGTAACTCCGCTCTTTTAAGACAAGACAAAATTAAGATTTAATAACACTATACTAAACAGTGTTACTCAACTTATGTAATCCAAAAATTGTAAAAAAAAAAAAACATCAAGAATTTAAGGAAGCCTATAAAAAGCTTTTATTAAATCATGGCGTATACATTTAAAAATGATTTTACTCAATAACTCGGTTAAACAAGCGGCATGAATTTTATTTATTTTTATTTACTTATGTGTAATGATTTTTTATTTCATAAATTGTATTACTGGTTACAGATGTATGTGGAAAAAGTAAAGCGCAGTGACTTTCTGGATGCACTGTATGAATGTATGTAGTATGTATGTATGCATGTATATAGGCTGCTATATATGTATACACCAGGGAGCTGTTTTGCCAAACATAATGTAACCTATGGAAAATATAGAATTATTATGGAGCTCAGATTAATAACATTAATAATTAATATGCATAATAAATATTAATAAGACCCAACTAAAAGCTTTAAACAAAGTAATATAGTTTTAAAATAAAATAATTCAGTTTGGGATAAAAAGGAAAAATCCAAGAGTAAATGCAGATGTTTATTTATTTACTTGGTTTCACTTACACTTTGTAATGAATAAACTTGTTATCTGTTCAGAATGGGGCTAGTGGTTCATAAATATGATGATCACTGTCACATGTATTGTGATCATGATTTATATGAGACAGAGCATCTTATTAACACATTAACATTCGACCATTTAATTATTATATTGTAACAATGTGGAAGTTCTATCTGTATTATGCCATGCTTTATGGAGCTTTGACCAATGCATCATCTTTTAAAGAAAGAAGCTGTATATGTATATTTGGCTGGTGTAAATAGTCAACTCTTGACCCATCAATCTCAAAAGTAATACATGATCATAAATGTTACCATTAAAATTAAATGAGTTAAATACTAAAATACTTAAACTAAATAATTTCCACCATGAAGTCAAGCTATATGTAAAAAAAATACTGAATGACTTTTATAAATAAATAGCTGGTTGTCAGAAGATGCATTGCACCCTTCTTCTCACCTCCCCAGCTGGGTCCAGGTGCTCGTCCTGCTCATCACATGAGCTCCACCCGCAGACAGGTCCTTCTAATGGGGGCATAATAGGAATCGCGTCCGGACTGATGCCGTTCGGCGTGATGTGATGGCTCAGGAAATGATCCTCGCATATCTGATGCTGATCGGTGATTTCGCGCTCAGTCTCCCGTAAAGCGGCCAGCCACACTTTCACTCGGGCCTTGTCTTTGGGGAACCTGAAAAATCTCTTGCGCGACCGGCTCGATTGCTCTCCCGGTTTGAGATCACTGTGGTTAATGCATCCTTGGACTGCACACTTCACCATCGTCATAACACGCTGTCAGATTATATCGCTACATTCAATCAGACAAACGTGCAATGTTTACACACATCACGACAGGAAAAGCAAACGCTGTGCCATGTGATCACGTCTGACTTCTTCTTCTTGTTGCTAATTTACGGCGGTTGGCATCCAACTTATCAGTGCATTTCCGCCACCTTCTGCTCCGGAGTGTCGAACATAAAATAGGTTTACAGACTAAATCCCCCTCTCCCACTCACACACACACATCCTCCCATTCATTCTGCATGTTAATAATTATAATAATAATAACAACAATTATTATTACCACCATAATTACAACATCAATATTTATACTTTAACCCTCATCCATACTACCTTTATTTATATTCTATTAAAAAACCCTATTTCTCTTAAGAAAGTCATAAGAATTCTAGTCTGAACCCTATCACTACTCAATAACCCTTTTAATGTGATATTCTGAACTCCCATCTCCCTCAGCTTATTCCTCATCATCTCTCTCTGTGCTCCATACCTACCATAGACATACATGCATATACTACATCTCAAAATAATATGCTCTACAGACTCCTCTATGCTTCCCTAAATCACGTCTGACCAATCAAATGATTTGTTTTCTACTTCAGGTTCTCCCTCTATTGGCTAATCGCACCTAGTGACATCTTTATCCATTCCACTAGAATCTAGTGGAATGGATAAGTAATATAACACATCTTTTTTATGTCTGATTTGTTCAAGTTTACAGAGATGTACGGGTATTTGATATAGGTGTGTGTGTGCTAGTTTTTCATATTACATGAGAATTCAGCATTCAATAATAAACATGTATGCGTGTGCTGATTGATTCGTGGAAGAAGAACTGAATCGGTTCTGGAGGTTCAAGTGTCACCGACTCATTTACATTTGAACCGTTTACATTCTTAACAAATAGCAGAAATGTTGTAAATAAGACACAATGGATATCGTATTATTATATGACAGTTTTATCAACGCATGTACGAAGCAGAGTTTGTTTGATTAAATACCATTTTATTATTTAAAAACATAAAAAAAACATTTTCAGTCTTAAGAGGTACATTTGTTGCATTGTAAATGCAAATTATTAAACAAAACAAACAAAAAAGTTAATCGAAAGGAACTGTTCGAAAAAAAAAGGAATTGAAAACATCCAGTATTATAAAACAATTTTAATGAAAATTGTCATTTGTCTTATCTGTATCCCCACATGCTCGTGTTCCTTGTTCTTATTATCCCTTTTTTGTACTGAATTATAATTATGCAATTAAAAAAGAAAAGAAAAAAACGTTTCGCGGAAATGAGTCGGTCGGGCTTCTACGGAGCCCCTAAAGGGACATGGTGAAGGAAAAAAATATGAGATGGAGGAAAAATTATTTGTCAATGCTTTTGCGTTCCCCTGCAAAAAACTTTTGCGTTCTGCCGAGAAACTTTGCGCAGGCTCTCAAAGAAAGAGCTCAAAACCTCCCATCACTAAAGTGAAAACGACAAACGTCTGCTAAAAAAGAAAGAAAGAAAAGAAAACGTCTGCTTTTCAGCCAATCATTTCGGCCGAACGTCACGTTACGTAAATAATATTCATGAGCCAAGCCTTCACAGTAGTAGGATTTGTAAATCCGTTTGGCGGACTGTGGGGTGTTGTACTGCCGTTTTTTACCAGCAGTGGACAGCAGCAAGCAGCAACAGTCTCTCCAGAGGTGGATGTGGATGTGGATGTGTGGGTTTGAATCAGGGCGAACTGGGCAGCCTCTGTCATAGAGAACCGCACAGAACTAATACAATAGCGAAACATGGCTACTGAGACGATATCAGCCTGCACAGGATCCAGCTTACTACAGCCAATAAGCGAGATAACCAACCTTCCGTTAGATCAGGTACATTTCTGTTATTTCTATTTTATAAAATGAATACTGGAGGCACAAAACCCTCAATACAGCAGCTTTCATTGGCATCCAGGTCCTTCTACAAATCCTTTACAGGCTGTGCACGAAAACATTTGGTAAGAACAATGAAAACGTTGCATTTTTAATATTTCCTCTCGAAATTCATGACGTCTGACTGAGCAATCGCATATTTCCGTCGGATTGAGTTGATGGTGTGCTCATGAAATGTGTCATTTGCGGCGGTGAGGAAATGGATGATGAACTACTCGAGGATTTGAAAATGTGGAATTCAATTCATATACAACCTAGATTAATGTAGGCATACATAAGATACAGGGGAGAAAAAAACAGTATTCTGTGTCGGCACTTTTAAGGAAACGTCATGATGTTGCTACCCAAGGCAGTCTTTTTAAAGATGTTTCTTTGTGGTTATCTCTGTTTGCACAGGGCCATATATACTCACAAATTTTGGGCTTGGCCCTTTTATATATATATCTACACAAACATATGCACTCAAAAAATGGCTAAATACTAAGCTTTTAATTGTTTTAACAACAAATTATTGGTCAGGAAATTGGCAAACTTTAAGCGAATGCACTACTTAACAAGCCATTGCTGTTTCAGAAAAGCAGTTTTTGGGAGAATATGGGAAGTCGTGTGTGGGGTGATGCTCCAGAGCGATGTCTTTAAAAATCTGGTGAGAAATATAATAATAAATGCATCTCTGCCACAGTGAAGCATGGAGGAAGAGGTGTCATTGTGTGGGGAGGCTTTTTAGCTGCTGGTATTGGTAAGCTACTTTACTGGGAAAAGTCATTTAATGCATTAAAGTACTGGATAGTATTGCAGTATGGCTTGCTTCCCACAAAAGAAAAATTGTTATCTAAAGAGGAATGATCAAGATGTTATTTTTCAATAAGACAATGCTCCTGCCCAAATTGCAAAGACAAACAAATAGTGGCTTGAGAACAAGTCCATGAGGATCATGTTTTGGCCTGGTCAAAGGCCAGATTTGAACCCTATAGTGAATATCTGGTCTCACATTAAACTCAAATGAACTGGGAGACATTTTTCAACTACTCATGAACTGACTCTTCTTCCTGTAAAAAGCTGTCTGCAAGTTGGGGAAGGCTATTACATGCTAAGTTCCTTTGTGCAGTTCTTGCTAATTTCCTGACCAGTAATATGTGATTTAAATGGTTAGGACTCTTAAAAGACCACTAAATAGTTAGCCATTTTTTGGCTTGTCCCTTCTTCTTTGTTTTGCCCAGGGATGTGTATATATATATGAAATTTTGCTGCTCATAGTGCTACCTATCTAGATGGCCAAAAATCCTGTCTAATTATGCAGCGCACTCGATTTTGAAACGGCTATGTCACTGCATGTTCCACAGAGAATTGCAGCTTGTGTAAAAGTCGTGTTTTGAATCTGTGTTCTCTATAAGACATGACAAACAAACTTGAATAACTAGTGAAATCACATTACATGGTCATGTCTTTTTCTCCCAGGAAATATTGGAGCAATTTAAGTGTTTTAAGTGTTAGAGACATTCTATGCATTGATAAATATATCAAATAATTTCAAGTGAATGAAAGATTTGTTATCATGATAGACAGGAAAATCTATTAGGCCTACGTAACAAGCATTTACACCTTAAATGGTCTACTTTTATTGCTTTGTAAATTAGCCTGTACCAGTAGATGCAAAAAAAAGTTAAATAAAAAAAAAATACATGACCTAAGGTCAAGGACAAATGCTTGTTATGGAGGGTATGTCATATTATGAAGATATATGTTGATGGTGCTAATTATCTTTTTCACTAAAATGTATGACAATGGTAACAGACAATGTTAAATGGGGCTTTTTGTTTAAAAGCATTTCAGCCATGAGTAAATAATTTGTACTTAATTGAAACCAAATCCCATAGATTTTTTTATTGAAGGAGGGACACAGGCCATAGTTTTATGTAATATCTAAATATAATATCTAAATCATTGTAAAAAAAAAACTGTCCTTCACATTTTGAAAGTGTGGATTGGTCAGACACTGATATTGTGAAACCAAACCCCAGAATGGGCAAGAGTAGTGATTTATTACATTAAAGGCTATTTGATTTCTGTATGTTGGCTGCTATATTGATTTAGTACAGACAGTTGGACCTTAGTAAAGATATTTGAAGATATGGCGCTGTCTATGCTCATATTTTTATAGCAAAAAAAAGGCATACACAGTACTAACGCTCAAAAGTCTTGAGTTGGGTGACATTTTTCAAATGTTTTTAAATTTTTCTTATGCTCACCAAAGCTGCATTTATTTGATCAATGCAGTCAAAACAGCCATATTGCGATGTATTACAATTTAAAGTAACTTAACTTATTTATTTAATATATTTTAATTTATTCCTGTGATGGCAAAGCTGAATTTTCAGCAGCCATTACTCCAGTCTTCAGTGTCACATAATCCTTCAGAAATCATTCTATGCTGATTTGGTGATCAATAAACATTTCTTATTATTATCAGTATTGAAAACAGTTGTCACCCTGACCCTAATCTTTTTGAACGGTAGTGTAGACACTTTAGATGTAGGTTTGGTTGAAAAGTTAACTCCTCTAAGGTGTCTTGTTGATGGAGAATAACTCCGAAGTGAGAACAGACTGTAATGTGAGCAGAAATCGGCTAATGTTGCACTACCACTGCCAGACACTGGACTCCTGTTACACTTGGGTCTAAAAGAGAGAAAGTCTCTCATGCCTTGTGCAGTTTGTGGTTGGTTTGAATCAGACAGTTTCCTTCTGCAACAGAATGTCTAGTTAATTCTGTTCTGTTTGGTACACATTAGCTGCATTTCATCAGTGTTGTTGTCAGGTCACAGCAGGTCACCAGCATCAGTGTTTTAACGTTCACACGAAGAACATGCCATTTCACAGCCGTGGATCTTTGGGTCAAAAGGTCAAAGCCTAAATAAATTTGAAAAAATTTCCTCAGAATTTTGTGATCTTTGATTTAAGAATTCACCTTGCATTTATTATTATTATTATTATTATTGTTGACTCGTCCAGGAGTATATATTTGTTTGACCAATTCCAGATGGGAAACCTGTTTTTTTTATGTAATAATAATAGTAAGTAAGTGTATTCTGGGGTTGTACTATATATATCAGTGGTCGTATGTGTATATCGGTCGATAAATGTGACTTGTAGTTGTTTATA